TTATAGAGGGTAGGTGCTGGTAACAAAAAATTTACTAATAATTCTCATAAATGTTCAGCCAGCAGTTCATTAAGTGAAAGAAAAAGTAGACGAAACAGATGATGCCAATATTAAACAAATTTCAAAAAAGAAAAAAACAAGACATGCTGCAAAAAAAGCATTAAGCATAAAATCTTTTTCTTACAAAAGTTATGTATTCTCTCACTTGTATAAACTTTTGTTGTCTTATGCTTTTTTTGTGAAAGACTATACTAGGAAATAAAAGAAAATAAACTATGTTATAAAAAAATTATTTTCTCTTCTGAACATCTTGTATTTTTTCGTTCCGAACATCGGTCATTTTTTGTTTCGAGCATCTGTCATTTTATGTTCCGAACATCCTGTATTTTCCGTTCCGAACACCCGGTCTTTTTCATTCCGACCTTCCGGCGTTTTCATTCCGAACACCCGGAAACTGAAGTTCGGAATGGACTTCTCCGACCGATGTTCGTAAAACAAAATGAGGACGAAAAGGGACCACCCCCGTTATTCTAGAGAATACATTTTACAGTAATGTTAGAACTCTTAAGTCCTATTTAAAGTTGATTGTGTTTCGTATGATATCGATCGCATGGTTGAGTGAGCAATAGCAACTTCTATCCAATATTGTAACCACTGAATGTATTTAAATGTGCAATTATTTATTTAGATAGATCCACTTGCCACAATTCATCATTCTTCAGCTGCTTATGAACATCCTAATGATGTAAGTTATTCGGTAATCATAATCACGATATGATTATATCTATCGAACCTATTCAGATGGAATATTCTTCGGTTAAAGCAAAAGAGGTTTGTTGGGGTTTTTAACAGCACGAAAAACAAAACCGCATGTTTAAATCTACTAAAAACAAACTATAACCTATCTGAAATTTTTTTGCTTGCGTAAACAAAAAATATTTATTTTTACTATTATTCATCTAGTCAACAATACATCTATTAAAAACAGCGCTAAAAAATGTTCAGGACGAAAAAGAAACCTTACAGACGAAAATCGACGAACTCGTGCGTGAACTCAACGACGTCAAAGGTGATTTATCGGTAAAAGTTTTTAGCTCTCTTTATAATCTCTAAAAAAATATCAATATTTCGGGTTTAGATATTTCGTCAAAAACGACATCGAGCACGTATTGGTAGTAATACAAAAGACAGCAATAATAAAGAAACAAATAATCACGATGACGAACAAGCAGTACTCTTACAACGTTTAGAACAATCCAATGAACGGGTTTGTTGAAAGATTTCGAATTATGAATGTTTTTCTTTTGTTTCTGTCAACAGATAAACGAATTGGACAATGATTTAAAATTAATCGTTTGTCAAAAAGAAGAACTTGAAATTGAAAGGGATTCATTTAAAACAAAATATAATAAATTAAATCAAGAATTAAATAAAATTTTAAATGGAAATCAGAAACATATTGTCGATATAGAACTTGTTCTATCCGAAAATCGGTATGATTCAATATCATATTAGCCGTATTCATTTTATTGTTTGTATTTAGATATTTAAAAGAGAAAATAAATGAATTAATACAAGAGAAAAGTCTTCTTGTAGCAAACGCTGCTAAATATAAAGTAAAATGAATTTTTCAATATTGAAAATTATAACATCGAATATATTCGTAGGATCTTCTGCAGACGCATCGTTCAGCCTATAATCGTTTAGGAAAAGTGCAATCGTCAGGAAGTATATTAACCCATAAACAAGGTAGAAATGAACAACTTATTAAAAAAAGGAATTAAAAAATTTCCTTTTTTCAGTGCGAAGTCTAATCAACCAAAGTTACACTGTTCCTAATACACCTGATACTGAACAAGATTTGCGATCGATCGCAGAAGCTTTATATGAAAATATAAAAGATAAAAATATAACCATTATTCACCAAAGAAAAACTAATAAGTATGTTTCGAAAAAATTAGTAGAATATAAAACTATTCGTTTCTTTGATTATTTAATAGGATACTAGCTAATCGTGTAACTGAATTAGAAAATCTTCTTGCTAACAGTAATCTCGCTGGAATATCTGGTAAGAAAAATTCGTATTTTGTTTATTGCAAATTTTTCTTCTTTTTACAATTTACAATGCATGATGAAGTCTATTGCTCCTGAGTTCTCTACACAAACACGTTCCCATATTCAGAATACCTTGATTTCATACTTTAACTGTTTGCCTAGTAGGTACAGACAAAAGTAAAGGTCAAACGGATAGGTGTGATTGTCGGTATCACGTAGAAATGTATGCAGTTTTACATAAGATCACAAACCGGAAGAGAGCCGGTAATCAGGCTTTAGCCTCGCAATAGGATATAAGTTGACAGTGAAAAAATTCAATTATCTAATGATGTATGTACTTAGAGAGAGATATCTGCGGTACACGAATTCTTATTTCCACGATTATATCCGGTTTCGCTTTTTTCCACCGGAAATCCATGACCTGTATGTTATCACCAGTCATACTCTATGCCCTTAAGATGTCAATAGATAGGCGAGACCTTCACTAGGATTAAAGTCGAAGTTGGTGTCAATATTGACATGTTAAAGGTATGTCGTAGAACTTAATAATATACACTTCATGAGATAGAAGAGATAATCGTGAATCTTTTCCAGTGTTGATTACCATTGTGAAAATTTTATTTAATAGATCAAACTAGTTCGCTAGTTAATTTACTCGATCGTACACCTACTCCAACTCTTCCCGAAGGTGCAACATCTCAATTCGTGAATAGCATCGATGAATTTCAGCAGCCATCGCCGACTCAGATTATAAATTTTCCACCAACATGGTCAACATCTCCTCGGTCGTCACTTAAAACATCCGAAGATGATTTTAGTAATAAAATAAAAACAGTGAAACATACTCCGACAGCAATTAAGAATAAACTCGAATGTCATCAATCGACTAAAATTCGAACTAAATCGGAAAGTATCGATTTAGAAATGGATGATCCATTACAATTGACTACTTTGACTTCGCCAATTGCTTATCTCGAAGAAAGAGATCTGATTCCGCCTACATCTCCTGGTACGTCGCTATGTTTGTAATCGATTTTTCTTCATTGACGTTTTCAAAAATTTTAGATGCCGATCATCATTCGTCAACTCAAGATGAAATCGATCATTTACATGAACTTCTTAACGCTGCTATAGATAAAAATAACGCTCGACAAGCAACCAAACTAACGGGTGCGAATTCAGCAGTTACAAATCTCACATGCTAAAGAAAAATAAATAATCACATTATCTATTTTTTTTTCTTCGTTTTCTCTTTCTTGTTTATTGAACCATGATAGTGTGAAGTTGGATTAATATACTAGTCACCTTCTTACAGGGACCTTTCAGTGTAATAAATGACAAACAAAAAAAGAAAAAAAATTGATGACCTTTACCGCTACATTTCTCTCAGTATGTGTTCATATCATCAAAATTGAAGGAGAAACAAAAGAAAAAAAACAGAAATTTCAATATCAAAAAAATCTGTACATCCAGAGTCTGTCCTTGATAAGTCTGTATGTTGAACAGTGACTAGGCCTTGATGAAAGTAAAAGACCATTAAGAAGAAGAAGAAGAAGAAAAGAGGAATTATCTGTTTGTTTTTTCTATTCAATCGTCGTTGCTTGTATTACTTCGGTAACTAAGTCTGGAATACAGGCAACATATCTATGCCAACCATCTGTTTGTATTATAGCCTTGAGATTACCACCAATAATAAATTGAATAACACGAGATTTAAGATCTTTCGAATGGTGTTGATCGGCGAGTAGTAAAATTTCAGCACACGAATCAATTGATATCGAGCTCATTAGAGCAACTTCGGCTTGTGAACGTAAATCTTCTAATTGATATTTATCAGCACAACGATACAATTCAACTGTAGATTTTTTTATATCCGTTACTCTGCCTGTATATATATATTCTAACATCGATTGTATTGTATTCGGATGTAAATCATTGATATCAATGGTATTTGTTGTATTTTCTAATGTACGATTTGAAAACATAGCAGCGAATACAGGCGATCGTGCAGCAAGAATTAATTTATGAGCATGAAAAACAACAGGCGCTTGCATTGCATCATCATCGTATGATGAATATGGTACCGTAACTCGCACTTTAATGTCACTCATTTTTTGTGTTGAATGCAGTAAAAGTTGTGTAAAATCTTTTACAAGACTTTCAAAACCGCGCGTGGCAAAATTCACGCTATCGACATCTTCAAATTCTTGATACTTCGTGTCTTCAGTTATGGCATCGTCCATTATTGTTATACGTACATAAATTTTAAGTTTATCCTCATCGAGTGTTTCATTCTCGAGTAATGTTATTGTATCATATTTAACATAATTAATAAAACCACGCGAATTACCACATTTATAAACTGAAAACTGTATATCTTTACGCATTTCAGTCAATTCGCATTTGCGATTGACAAGTGAATATTCAGCTTTTGCTTTTATATCACGTTCACCTTTAATATATTCAAGAAATATTGACATATAATTTGAGGATGCACCATAATTGCCTTTCGGATAACAAACAAGTCGCCATTGCGTTGATATACTCATACCTGATACTGGACTGAACGGTGCTGATGATAAACATATAATTGGCTCGGGATCTTCAAGGTACGATGAGAAATTTTCTACAATCCACATATGTGAAAATGTATGCAGAGTTCGTTTCGTACAACAAACACTATCCAAACTGTAATCATTACGCATAATCGGTAAATAATTTGAATTCAATGTGCCAACGGATGTTGATTCGTTGGCATTCAACGAAATATTCGATGACGATTTTATAACAGAATTATACATGCTAAAGAGATAGTGAGCAAAAGAAAAAGTTAAATCCGTGCTCAATCGATTGCTTGGTCTTGAATGTATGTGTATCTGCTTACGTGTTTCGATATTGCTTTGTTAGCATTGAGAATCTTTTTTTTCTTTTGAGCTCGTGGGAAAAAACTGAGGGACACAGACAGAATAATGAGCGTAATTTTCTTTTCTTATATTGACGACTATTGCTTATAGATCGGATGCGCTGATCGAACGCTCGAATGATTGCTTGCGCTTCTCATTCTTTTACTCTCATTTAGTAGTAGCAACTATCATCGTATTCTTTTTCTCGTTATTTTTTTTGAACGTACGCGAAATGAGAATGAATAAAGGAAAATAAAAGAGATGGCAGATGACACTGAGATTGTAATTCACATGCAAACAAGCGAATAGATATCCATACAAGGGTATAAATACGCACCTATCGAATCAATACAGGACGGGAGGGGGGGGGACTAGACAATCTTACGTGCGTCGATTGATATTGCCGTGAAGAAAATGCATTTAGGCAAATCGACAAACACATGTGATATTTCTTCTAGCGCGCGATAGGTCTCAGTTGTCTAGTGATTAGTAAAGAAATAATAACGACGATATAGAATACAACCAAAGCTGTTATTTATTGATATGATATCGATCTCTCAAGACGCCAACGTTCGTAATATTGCCAAATCTTAGCAGGATGTATGCAGAAGAGAATCCCGTTATCGGCTATTTCGACACGTGCACTCCTGTTATAAACAACGCTAACCGCCTACACCCTCTCATCGACGAGATTATTATTCTTCTGTCATGTTTTATTTTCTATTGATGACTTCCTTCTAATATAGAACGACTTACACATTGCATTGCATTTCTAACTGATTAATTGTAATGAAAAATAACAATAGATCAATACGAGTGCGAAATGAGATATAAATAAATAACTTTTATTTCGTTGCCTATTAAAAACAAGATATTCAATATGCTTTTCTATCTCTTTATTAATGCTATTAAACTAGTCGATATTTATGTTACATATCAATGACTACACTTAAGCGAATAAATCTGACAAGTGTCATGTTTTCGACAAGGTGAATGTGTTAAACATTTTGTATTCTCACAAAATTAATTATCGATTTCATTGAAAAACGGATCAATAAAGTTACGTGTAATCGAAAAGAATATAATCAATCTCGAATTTCACAAGTTAAGAATTGCTTAATCTACTTCGACTTTATTCTTTTGATAGAAAAATAAGTCTATGAAATGATATTTGGCATTATAGATTCTATTTACTCTAGACCCGATTTCAATCAATATTGAATAAATAGTAATGACAAACGAATACTCACCTAATCTAATAGCTAGTTGATTGATAGACGTTAATTCTTACAAGAAAATATGATATCATATAGTTTCGATGTTTAGTAGTGCTCGTTTGTTTCTTCGATTGGAACGAGGAGTTTAGTCGACAACTGTCCAAGCAATATCATCATTGTGTTTTATTTAGTTTGTCTACTATAGATTATACTCTGTTCTTTTTCTTTCTTTTTTTTTGAAGACTGATTACGTTGTGATTGATTACGCAACATCCAAGAATGCGAGCAGTACATAACTTATCTCAACTATTGTTGTAGAATAAGAGCGGTTTTTTTTTGTTGTTTTCTCTTTATCTAATTATGTAGTCTTCCTACTGTCTTCATTTACTTATTTTTTTTTATCTCAGTGTGCAATCGAGTGAAGTCTCGTCGACATATTTAACTCGCTCATTTTGATGCGCGTGGATTCTGCTTACCTTTGCGTATATTAATTAGGTAGTTTATTTCTCAGCTTATATGCGTACAAACATAAATGTGTTTTTACTACAAGCATACGGCGAAGGAAAAACAGAAAGAAAAAGTTCACTCCATACTGAGTAATACGTGAATTACTGATAATGATTTCTTTCTCAATACAATTTTTTTTTCGCTGTAACACTCAACAAATGAACGTTAAAATAAACCTATGGTCTGTTTACCGTTGTTAAGATTGTGCCGAATGACAGACAGAGAAATGAGTAAAGAAAAACTGGTAACTCCTTGATGATGAGAGATTAATCGAATGCTTTGAGCTCGATTTTTTTCTTCTCGCTTTTCTCCTCTTACATGCAGCCTTTCCCCTGTGCATCATATTACAAGTACCTAATGCTTTCACTCTCACCGCCACCGTTGTCTTTCCTTGCTGCTGACTCAAGGTTCAACACACATGCAGCAGACATATGTTGATTATGAAAGAACAATTGAAATGGTTTCGATATTTAATAAGCATGATATTGATTTTATACAGAGATCACATGACGACAGTTTCTTTAGAAGGACACTTTTATTAATAACACTGATATAGTCATAATATATTGAGATTTAAATGCATATAGGAAGAAAAAAAAAAGTCGAAACATAATCTGATCAGTTTGTTTTCGTCGCGTTGAAGGCGCCTTGTGTATAATGCATTAATCAATACTCTTTAAAACGTGAATTTAATCAAATCATAACTATAATTTCGATCGGAAGACTTACAATATGATTTAACAAATGAAACCCTACTTCAAGAGCGTTTATATTACAAAAAGAGAACATATTACTTTCAATTTTTTTCTTCGTTTCTCTCATCTGTAAAAATTAGAAAATCATTGAATTCTTTGTTTTATATATATGTCTATATAAGCATAATTCAATATTTACCATTAATGTCCGAATAAAAGGACATTTGACATTGATATTAACAGTATAAACAGTTCTATACTGACATTCTGAAAACTAATAGAATGTCTTGCTTCAATATTAACATATATATATAAGCCTCGTTTTGTTTACTTATATTGAGAGCATACAGCTATACCCACTTCTACGATAGGCACAGAGCACAATAATGATACTTTTACTAGTGTTGTTAGTATCCGTTTTCAAATTAGTCTATACATTACAATGTATCGATAGATGTACGATGATGTTTTCTATGAATCAATCGTTTATTTTACCATCGAATTGTACGTATATACAAAATGATCGATGTTCAGTTAATCTTCTATTTCGGTATGAATGTGGACATTATATTGTTACATTTCCTGGTGATCTAACGTATGATGAGAATTTGGGCGATACAAAACATTTTATTATGATTGAAACAGCTAGAGATGCATTCTTTTCCTATGATATCAATCATGTATGTAAAGAAACGGATGATTGTGCTCGACACTTTGCTGAGAAGAAAATTCTCGACATGACACAACGCGCATTTAACATTTCGAATCTTTATTCTGATCTTAAACAAATTCTACACAAGAAAAAAATTTTCGATCAAGATTTACTTTGTTTTGATGCAAACGAATCTATTCGTCAATGTCTTGTTTCGGGCATGACTGGCTCATGTGAAATTATTGATGACCTTGTTAAATATAAAATTCATCGACGGTCTTGTGAATATCGCATTCAAGAATCTGCTAGTGTTAATATATATGAATCGGGAAATTTCGCCATGATGACCATAAAATGTAATCGAATGCTTTGCAACGGGCCAGTAACAATCGAAGCCGTGAAAAGAGTATTAAATCATTATGATATTACTGATATTAACGGTCGCCTACTGGGCAATAGTTCACATCTGTCGTTCAAGTATTATGATTGCATCTTGACATTGATTATAGTTTTCTGGATTGACTAGACGACAAGTCTAGTTAATTGACTTTTAAAGGGTGTTAAATATTTATTCATGCGTGTAAAAAAGAATAGAAACAAAATGCTCAGATCTATGATTCTACCGTCCGGACCCGTGAATTTTCCGGTCGGAAACTGAAAGCAAAAATCCGGTGATTCTATTTTTTTTTTAGTACCGTTGTAATCAGGAAGAGTTATAGTCACCGAATTTTAACTTTCAAGTTTCTATCCTTTTCCGGACGGAAATGATTTATATTTTCTTGAGCGATGTATAGAATACAAGAGTTGTTCATTTCATTTTTATCTCAGTCGCATATCGGATTTTACTACGATGGTTCATTGAAGAGATAAAATTTACCTTGATCATTCAAACCCGATTTTTTTCTAATTTCGAACGATTAAATCGAATGAATAATGACTCTTATGAATGACACATCATTAATTCTTTTTCTTCAGACTAATAAATATCATTTGTCGTTGATAACTGTTGCCATTCAACATAGCATAGGAGAGAGGAGAAAAACTAACTTTATAAAGAGCATATCATTAGTCATAGAAATCAAACAAGTCCCATAAATCATATTTCCAGAATATAATTTTTATCAGTGAAATAATGCGAGTATAAGTAAGTATAGTCTTTCAATTGTGCGAAAGTGATAACGATTTGTACCATCGCTTTCTCCCCATAAATCGTTTAGAAAAAAAAAGAACCGAGAACGAAATCTCTCTCTCTATGCATTGCCTGTTAAATCTATCAACGTTGTGAATATCCTAAACAATTTTATCGTACTGCTTTTAAAGATACAGAATATAAATCACGCTGACAAGGAGCATGTAAGCTCTAAGTTTTATAATTCTCTATAGTACGTTGTCCTTCATTGCTGAAATCAAACATCGCTTAGACTAATTTCTGTAGACAACATAATCGGCGCTGAATGACGTACGTTACAATGAAATTATCCTATAAAAACGAGACCATCGTTTTCTTGATAACATTAACCAATTTAAATTTTGAATAGTGCAGCCTACAGATGTCTCTAGAGAACAAATCCTATATAGGACGGGGAGATAACATTGCTTAGCACTACAGAAATCAATACCAAAAGCAGTTGTTGTTATTCAAACTAATTAGACTTTCCAGCGAAATATTTATACTTTGCGGAGACGAGTATTCTCGAACCGAATTCACGTATGTTGATCGGTGATGATGCGCATGTTTACTGTTCCATTTTCCATATATTCGACAGCTGATACTGTGCGCTGCGAAAAAAACGATAAAAAAATTAGGTAGAATGCTTATCACCACATAGCCAGAATGCTATCAGACGAACAGCTGCTTGTAATTTGTCCAGACTTTTATGCCGAGGCTTCTATAATAATAACAGTGTGAAGAAACGATATCCCCTTTTCAGTTACCCATGAAAAACGTATCTCTAGGCCTTTTAAACAGTTTTCATCATCATAATAACTATAATATCAATAGTATATATTGTTTTATTACAATCAGCAGAAATAGATACGAAAACGAACAAAAATCATATCAAAATGTGATCAAATACTGTATTTTTTTCATTAATTTAATATTCAAAGGCTTGACGACCAAGAGGCTCACAAACAGCATTAACGGCATTTTTAACAACAAAATCTTGAAGTCCAATTTGACATAAATTAGCTACGATCCATAATTTATCCAAGACATATTCATTCTAGAATGTAAAAATATCAAATGAAAAACTTGAAAGAATCTCAATAAATAAATAAATCAACAAACTTGAATATCGAAGCATTTTTCGTGTATATGTTGTGTAACAGATTTGTAGCAATCATGTTGAGTCAATTTCATACGTTGTGAAGTAACTAATTCATAGAAATTTGCACGGTTGACTTCGAATGATCGTTTGGCAATCAAATTAATTGTTCCTGCGATAGCATTTCGTTGCTATGAGATATTGAAATATGAACTATTGAAATAGATTACATAAACAATTAGCTTACTTGAATAGCATTGGCAAGTTTGCTTTCAACTGCAGCTCGTTCAGCTGAATCAACTGGTAGAGCAGCTAAACGACGAGACAAAATTGATTCGCGAACATCGACTACAGCAGCAGCATCACGCTAAAAACAAAAACGGTATCATAAACGAATTTCAATTCACCAATAGAAAAATTACTTTAAGCATGGCATTCAAATGATCTGTAAGTGGACTCATTGGTTGTGGTTTATTGAGCATATTTTCACCTTGAAAGTCACTAACGTGATCTGTTGCGCCCAATGTCTAAATAATGAATGCATAGATATATTTTTCTTTCTCAATAAAAGAAGCCTCATTTCAATACGTACAAGATTACCGTATTGCATAACGTGACTTTCAGTTGTTTTCTTTTGAGTTACTTGAAATTGTTTAAACAATGTTTCTGTAGTAACATCTTCAGCATCGGAATCTTCCATCCAGTTAACTGAATATAAATCACCTAAGTATGTTTGACGTACGCTATCATAATAGCATGCATACGATGATTCTTCTGGGTTTGATGCTGTTGTAGCATAGATATTAATATTATCAGGTAAAAGACCATCAAGCATGGAGCCGGATTCACAGGATTCAATATAGATAACCATCTATTAATAGAATAGATTCCGTTGAGAAAAATAGTTAAATAAAATTTTAATTGCGAACCTCTTTGTATTTCTTTTGGCTGTGCATTTGAGCAATTGTTTTGTTCAAATCTTTAGCATAAAGCTATACAGACAAAGCAAATCGGGACTTTTTAAAAAGAAGATCATAGAGAAACATACGACATCATTTGGGAAAGCAACAAGACCTGACAAAAAAAGATTTTTATTAATAAATATATATATGTAAATTCAAAGAAAACAACTTACCGGTGGCACCATGATCAGTGAAGAAGACGAAAACATTATCATCGGGACCACTAATAAATGAAATGAATACGGACTTGTGAAGAAAACAAAACTATTTACACACCTTTCAAGAACTTTGCCACTGCCTACGCCTTTCATAGCATCCTTGTTACCGAGAAGAACATTGATAAAGTTCTTGGGTGTTACAGTCTAAAAAAGAATAAATTGAAATTACACCTATGATTTTAACTTTTCAGACTATTTTACATTGCCAGTATAATCATGTGGTACATCGTGATAGACATCTTTACCTTTTGGATGATTGATAATAATGCCTTTTGTTGGGTTTCTTTAAAAATAAAAACGCAGATTAATTCCAATGAAGACAAAATTCATATCTACTTACTCTGGATTTTTAGCAATATCATCATACATCATGACAACGATGTTCGAATCTGGAATACCATTTTTATGCAAAATTTGATATGCATGGCATACATCAGATTGATGTCGGTAGTTAAAGTAGCCATTTGAACCAGCGACAAGTACTGCAAAGTTTTGGCCGGCTGCTGCTATACTTCCGATAGCACCGAGAAAGGTGATGGCTGCAATAAGAGTAAAATGCTGACGTGGAAGCATCTTAGAAGTGTATGATGATAATAAAAATGAAAAACGCCAGTGAAGACGGTCAATTTATCTTGTGTTTCTCGCATTGTCACTGTTGACTTGCGTATCACAATCTATCTGAATAAAGACTGGTTTATCAGTAATGCTGATACTGAAAAAGGATTCACACAAAAACTATGAGAAAAAAGACCACATGACACATCCTGCTCTTGATTTATATCTAAAAATAAAACAGAAAAAATTTATAACTTAATTCATGAAATACATCTATATAAACGCGAAGATGATGTTCAAAATATTTATTTGATAAATTATCAGTCAGAATGGTATTGATTTTTTTTCCGCGAGGAAAACTACTTTCCATCGGTTTTGAAAGCATTTTGATAAGAAATAAAGCGAATAAAAATTGCCCTTGAAAATTTATTTATTGATTATTTTATTGCAAAGCAAATATTATTTCAAATCTTGCTTAAAGGCTATTCAGAGTTAATTTCACTTTGTCTTAGTCAAACAATTTGATAAACTGATAAAAAAAAATATAATTATGTGTCATAGCATAAGACAAAAACATATATTTACATTGCATACAGTCAGTTAGTTTCTATCCATACGAATCATAATTAAATTACGGAATAAGATAAATAGCAACTGCATTTGAAAATTTCATTTTATTTATTTAGAAGATAAAAAAATCGAGGTCCTCAATTTATTCCAGCTGACCTCATGATGAGGCAAAGAGGTTTGCTTCCAGTTCCGTCATTGAAATTTCAGAATCAGGTTAAAGCGCTAGATGCCACCAAGAGTTAACCTATATTATTGCGTGGTGCAGATAATAAAAATTAATATATTCTTTTTCTATACAATTCATTTGTCGACGTTTACAAGTACTTTCATTCCTACGATATTCAAGTTGTTCTTGTATTGTTCAGTTGGCTGTCTTTGATTTCTATAAATATATGCACAGGTTAATTCAAGCTACAGAAATATCTAATTAAGTTCATTTGTCAGAAAAAAACTATCAAAACTTGTTGAATATAACTGAAAGCAAAAGTTGAAATAGTTTTATCAACAAGAAGTAATACGCAAAACAAAAGGTTCAAACGGATTAATCAATAGCTTAGCGCCATCTATGTTATGAGAAACTGTAGCTTCATACTCAACAGCAATAGTCACAGAGGATCTTTGTTAAAATGAAATAAAATAATGGATGAGATTTATTTATCAATTTTTTTTTATAGGTCTCATATAAGGAAACTAAGATGAGCCAGCCGATTTATGATTCAAAACAAGGTTTTTCGGGAATATCGATCGTTGGTTTTTTCTAATGATTTTTTTGTTGTTGCCTAGGTGGTTTTCGTGTGTTCGTTGGTAATTTAGGTTCGCGTACGAGTGTATCTGACCTTAAACAAGAATGTGAACGATATGGACCTGTAATTGATTGTTGGGTAGCACGGTAGGTAGAAATAAGCGAACTGTTATTCTAATATTAACTATTTCCCTACGAGAACGAGACAAATTTTTTATTTGAAATTCCCATCTTTCAGTTGCTGGTCGGCAAAAAAAGCAGCAGCATCAGCACCACTCTACACACCTCTACTACGCCTTTTTTATCTTCTTCTATACGTCGCAACAAGTTGATGAACGCGTCGTTATCTTAACTTCTTATGCATTTCTTCTCTTCTAAATCTTCCTTTCCTGCAAAATAGAAAAATAACTGAAAACCAACATCCTTCTGAAAAGAAAATAAAAAACATATCATGCACTTTTCATCTATTCTAGCAATCCACCAGGATTTGCGTTTATACTTTTTAAATATGGTGAAGACGCTGTTTCAGCTGTTCGAAGTAAGTGTTTTCCCCTTAAAAAAAATCATTGAACAAAGTTTTATTCTGATTTGATTTTTTAGATATGGATGGCCGGTAGGTAGAACAAAAGTTGATCAACAAAATTCTATGTACATTATTGATATTTAGTATGGTATGTGGGCAACGTGTACGAGTAGAACACGCCAAAGCACGGTCAGTATATCCTCGCAATGCACCATCATATGGTGGTTATCACGGTGGAGAGTAAGTGATTTCAATTCATGTTGTACGTGTGAGATGCGTCGGAGGCATTGAGCTATTAGTTTTTCTATCGAAAGTTGGAGAGAACTCCGCTATTGGATACTATGTTTTATTTATAAATAAGAAAACTCAATATCCGAAATAACTCGGCACTGTGCTTTTCTTCTTCTAGTGATGGTAATGATGACGATCGAGGTGACGATCGAAAGTAAGTTATATTTCCTAATGTGAACAGTTTGTGATTTGTATCATTTTGCTTTTCAGACGTCGTCGCCATCGTTCACGTGATCGGTATAATCTAAATATTTTTATTTCGAATAAATATTGAGTTTTATTTTTCTCTAGTCGTTCACGTTCTCGAAGCAATAGTCGAGATCGTTCGAAAAAGAAGTAAGTTCACGCTGAATTTTATTGCCAATCAACATAAATAAGAAGTTTCCTATTAGATCATCACGTCGTCGACATAGTAGTCGTGATTCAGGCGATGATTCAGGTCGTGATCGTACTTCTCGACGTAAACATAAGTATTTAACTAATCGAGAAAATTAATAGAATAAAGCATGATGATAAATTTCAAATAGAAGTCGTTCTCATGATCGAAGTGATTCAGATGACTCAAGTAGTGATCGTGATAAAAAACGTTCTGGACATCGTCACACGAAATCAAAAACACCAACTGACAAGAAAGCTAATGACTCTAAACGTCGTCCATCGAAATCACCATCCAAAGCCAAGGCGGCTAGTGACGATGATCGTGCATCCAGTCATTCAAAAGACAGTTCAGCATCATCAAAACATGACCATCAAAGTAACGATGTTGACAATGGAAGTGATAAACGAGTAAGAAAATTTTTATATTCAAAATTAAACCTTTGGTTATCTAATCTTTTGATATTGTAGAAATTGTCGCGTTCTAAATCTGACGATGAAAGCGATGATGAAAGTAAAAAAATTAAACGTCGTAGTTCAACAAATGAATCTATAGATGATGATGATGATGATGACAAAGAAGGAAACGAATCAAAACGTTCAAATAGCGAAAGTGATAATCAAAATTGAACAGTTTTATACAAGCCGACTGTGTTTCTTTTTTCTTTGTGTTTATTCAAATATTAGCGAGAGTTTAGATAATCATCATATTGACTTTAGATAAATTTTGTGTTAATAGTCTTCGTTTTTTTTAAATAATTTCGTTCTATTCTGTCACGTTTGTGCGCACGCTTTGCATTAGAAATAAGCAAGCGACGTTTTTTTCTCGGAAAAATAAAAGTTTTTCATATAATAATTATGAAATAGAAACTTCTTTTAAAAATAAATTGACCTGCAATATTCGGAAGATCAATATGAGGTTGAAAAAAAATTTGTATTCAATCGAATATGACGAATCTTTGGAAAAAAAGTATCTATCGTATAAACAAAATTGTGGCGTTGATGGCTGTTAAAGGATATCTGCAATGTTCACTGAGTATTGCTAGGCACACTTCTTCTGATGATGAACAGTACATGGCTGCATTTTTCTTTGCTTCAGCCTCTTTTCCCTCAATTGCTCAATGTGAAAAAAGCTGGATAATGAACTTGGCCAAGCTATTCATGTTCAATATCTCAGACCACGACCTATAGTGTAGATGAATACATAGGACTTCTCTCGATTTTCAGCTTGTCACATGTTTTAAATTTAGAAAAATAATAATAACTCCGCAAGAGTAGCGAAAAACAAATACATGTGTCTACAACATTATAAATTTTTGATATTTATATGCAAACAATGAGAATGACAATTGATAACAATCAAGGATAATTTTATTTATATATGAGTCCACTGCATATGCCACATATGTCATCAAAATGAAAAGAGTTGAAGGAGACAAGTGTACAAATTTTTTTTGACAGTCACACATATGATGAATAAAGTAACATTAATATGTATAGAAGAGAAAAAGATATGATTACACTTTAACAGTCGTATAAGTTAGTTGGCATTCAATATCGCCAATATCACTCCAATCAAGATCTGATATTGTCCGTTGTGAACATGTTCTTTTTGTATGAAAATCTTTTGGTCCACATTCAAGTTTTCTTTTTAAATTTTTTGTTAAAAATTTAAATGGTATAGGTTCAATTGAGTCAATTGTTTTTAATTTATGCACATTCAAAGCGTCATTCACAAAGGACCTGATCCAAATTTCATCAACAACAGCTGATATTCGACCATCAGATAAAATTAAATATTGAATAATATATTTATCATCTTGCATTCGGCTAGGTGCATCAATTACAGAGCCGAATAGGAGGCGCTCAATTGCATCGCCAGATTCACCTTGTAAACAATGTGTCTTTGGTGTTTCAAACTTTCTATTTATATCTTTTTCATTTGTCAAATATACACGAGCACAGTGATATGATAATGCATGACTTAATTCACGAAGAATTTTTGCGAATACGAAGAAAACTTCCATATCCAATTGAGCAGTTGAACCTGTTTGATTTACGCAAAAATCATTAATCAATGTTTTATCAATCATAATATGATCGCGATAATGGTTAGTCACGAATGGATCACCGCGAAAAATTGAATATTCATTCGGCAAAACACCAATTATAAATTCGATTAAGTTGCATAGATTGACAATGAACATTCTTGTTTTGGTGATAACATTTTTTGCTTCTTCAAAATTAAAAATATTTTTAAAACGTAATTCAACATTGCATACATATGAATAATAACAACATAGATTATCATTGTCAATCAAATCTTCAACCATAGATAATGCTTGACAAAATTGCTTTGAATTTTTTAATTCTTCTTCGATTTTCAAATGATTGAAGTAACGAAATTTTATACCTAAAACAAAACTTCTTTAAGAGTGATTTCGCGACAGAATCGCCAAATTCAATATCTAGTTTAAAAGGTTATAGTATGTATATGCAAAAGCCAAAATATTAGTAGATAGATTATGAAGAGATATAGGGGACATAAGTAGACCACTATCGGTGAACCCTACCAAAATTATGTGCGAGAGTTCACTCATTTTTAGCTGTATTACAGATTTCTCAAAACATCTATAATGAAATCTACTCATGCGTGTGTTCTGAGACTGTATAAAACTTCCGTTACTTGCACTAGTAGATCAGCAACAAATCAGAGGTTCATTGAGAAAAAAGTAGTATCCATTACATGGATTTTACTCGATATTTCATTGCACTCTTCGAAACTGAACACAAATTGAAATATCTTCGTGTAATCATAATGTTCTCTGAGTGAGTGTATCCTTAATCAAAAGTCATTCAAAAACAAGGAAACAGGCGTCTCGATTATGGAGATAGTCTGTCGAAGGTGACGTCTCCTCCCCAAAACTCTAGATTTTTCTAAAACGAACTTTTCTCATCTCGCTACAGAAAACAGTCAATTACCCTGATAACAGTAGAGGTATGTTCAGATTTCCGAAAAAGGAAATTACAGAAATTTCCGAAGCTTCCATCAATTCGATTACTACATAGCAAAGCAAATAAAAATTTTTTGAAAATATTTGAAAGTTTAGAAATTTCGGAATCTTCTGTAATTTCGGAAATTTCGCTTTGTACAGAATTTTGGAAATTTCAGAAATTTCGGAAATTGTATAATTTTGGGAAATACCAAACAATTTAGAACACAAGTACTTGAAATTTCCAAAACTTCCGAAATTTCCTTTTTTGGAAGTCTGAACACTGCTGTAACAGTATTATTGGAATTAAACGAGAAAACGCTTTTTTCATACCATATTGATTTTGTGGATGATTGTCATGCTGCTCTTTCCATTCAGCCAAATTATCCTCATTGACGACACGAAATTCTGTGCATGGTGATGCCATAAAATTTAAATCTAAAATACGACATTTACCTTTTCACTTTTAAACATAAGATGAATATGAACAGTCATGATGAAATCATGTTTAGGAGCAGAAATTCCTTAAGAAATTTTCGAAAAGACCATTTTCATTATTTACTACATTTATTGATCGTGCAAGTGAAATAAAGTTGAAAATCAGCACAAAAAATATTTCACAATCTTGCAACACTAGCTTTCTTTTCTCTACATATGTCATAATGGCAATATTTCAAATTTCGAGTTGTGACTTTGTTTTTGAAACGCTTATCTTTTTGATAGAATCATAAGATTGAGCCTGGAAATTTTCTCAAAGAATCTATGTGATTGAGTTTAAAAAAGCAAAACATAACTTCCTAAACAAACCGATACCAGTTGTATATATCAGCGTAACTAAGCGTTACAGAATGTTATTCTTCTACATTCTGGCACGTATATCTTGTCAATAATAAAAGCAAATCGAATGTGAAATGTTTATCATACTTACAAGTCGTTTAGCGCTATTATCACTGAACATGTCATTGCTTTTATTTTTACCAGGGCTGAGTTATTCCAAAAATGTAGCTCGTTTCAAATCCTCAAGTAATACAGAGAAAGTCTACTTAATGAAAGAAAAGGGGAAGTTATGCCGCTTCTAGGTAATTTAAATATCTTGGGGTTTACACTGTATTTGATACTATATTGTTAGTGGAATTTTGCATACAGAGATAGCTTTCTTTATTTCTTTAAGTTTGAGCTCTCTTCGAACAAAGGTTAGGCATATCTCTACGCGAGTCAGATACGAAGATAAACGCACAAGGATTCGCTGCATAATTTTCTGAAGTACAACAGAAAAAAATTAAAAATATTCATAATCGGAAAAGAGAATACATTAATCGTTCATTTTATGAGGTACAATAGATGTCATCGAAATACTGTAAGAAACTATCAATCAAATATTTCTGTGGAGATAGTTACTTAATTGGAATAGGTCATAAAGTTCTATTCTCAATTTCTCTGAGATATGTTCACAAATCCGAAAACACAATTACCGAAATTTTCATATTTTCAAGAAACACTCAGGATTTCAGATAGGGTATAAGTGTGGGTTTTTGTTATGTCGATATTCTCTGTCTCTTACATTCAAACCTTGCGCTAAAGAAAAAATTTCACTCAACCTTGACAACTAAAATACAGAAGATACGTAATGTTTGTTTGGTGAACAAAATTTTCCGATGATCAAACGAAAGGTAATAATATCTCTTTATTTTTCTCTACAACTGAATTTGCAAATAGAGAATGAAGGAAACAAAATTTTATCTCAATCTTTAGTGTAGATAAGAACACAAACAAATACAAAAAACAACTCATCGATTTTATTCTAATTCTAACATCATCTACTCAACTCGCGTGATACTTCTTGGACTTCTAGTTGTGGGATATTTCAATTTTTCATCAGCAAGTATTTACCATACACTAAAACCATTTCAACAGTATAGAGCTGAACTTTCAAAATGACATTTTTTCTATTAATTTGTTTATTCATTCATCCTAGAAAGCAACCTCCCCTCTATGGAAGTTTTTATGCATATACTTCTCAATCAGCAGCATTTCGATTTTATGCAAATTTTTCGTTTCATATTGATGATAATGAAACATATTTATATGATTTCGAATCGCGATCTATTGCTCTTACAAATAATAGTTTATCTACCATCTATTTTCCTATTCAATGTAATAATGCATATCAGCGTTTATTCTTAATTTCGTATGACATGAAAACGAAGCAGTATTGCAACAGACTTCATGGATGTTTAAAAATGGTATGTTTTATTTTCTTCATTATGATTCACTTCGTCAACGTTTATTTGGTTTACGTGATTATAATTTATTTACACTTGTCATAGAAGAATATAATCTCACGACATTACATCCGATGAGAGAATATACAAGACGAAATGCTAAGAAATATGCATATGCTTTTCATCAGTGTTCAATATTTGACTATGAAGAAAATTGGACTGTTGAAGGTCGAACACGTTTAGAAAACGCAAATATTAATGCATATTATCTTAAAATGGATTTAAATCTCGTTGGTAATAAAACAGATATTGTTACAGAATTTTGTCTATCACCGGATATTCATAATCTTTGTACAATAACGAATGATACTGAAAACAAACTAGCACTTGTTGCATGACAACATGGATCCATTAAGTAAAATATAGTGGTGATGTATATGAATCCTCATACAAGTGAATTTCGAAATGAAACGATACTTTTCAAAACTGGTTTAGGCTATGAAATAGATTCAATTAAAGATATTTATAATAAAAAAAAGCGGGTCATGTTTTATTCATGATTGATAGAGAATATAGAACGCATACGGTAGTGGAACAATGGGTGATTATCGTAGAATTTCATACAATGAAAATACTCGACAAAAAACAAGTCGATACAATGAAACCTTATGATTATTGGGAATCTTTTCTTTTATAGAATAGCTTTATTCTAATTTCATGGGAAACAATAAAATAGTTTTTAATAAATCACAAGAGGTTACGAAAATATCTCGTGATTCAAATGCCTACATTAATTATGCTGACCTTGACGAAGTTCTTCGGTGAGGCTACTAAACTCTCTGATCTATTTTCATTGAATTCGTCCCATTTAATCTTATATATCCATTTTAAAAAGATTACTATTAGAATCATGTTTTTTTTGTTTTGAGTCGCTATCACAATAAACGATGCCTCTCATAGATTTTATGCTCTAGAGAATTTCAAACTGCGAAAGATTCCATTTGCCGTCGATTTTATTCAAGACAACTTTCTATATATATATATAAACTTCGATTTAGAATACGAATGAACCAAAGCGAATCAGTAGATATGAAATGATTGGTAACTACCAGTCAAATTTCTAAAATATATATCTTTCATGATATTCCACATGTTTTCTTTTTAAAGGATGTCAGTTAATCATTTAGCTGTCATTTTTTCTTGTATCATAGTCTAACAGAATAATATGCTACATGTAAATGATAATGCATTGATAAAGAAAGTTACTCAATTAAAAAGGTGTGATACATTGAAATATTCGTCAGTTTTTGTATGTAAGGACTTAAAGAGAAAAGACAAAAAAAACATGATGCTATGGTATTTAATGTGTCTATTTCTGTAAGTATTTTAAAAAGTAAGACGATTGAACAGATCAGATTCGTCAAAAATTTAATTTTTCATCGATGATGATTTGTCAAAAGTGAAATTTCTATTTTAAATTAAATTAAAAATATGACTCATAAAATTTCTGCCTATTTCCCTTTAGAGTCGTTATTGGAAATAATGGTAAGTGTATGGTAATATTTTAAAAATATGAATTCATTTCTCTTCGATTTAATTTTAGGCGACGCTATTTATAAAGAATCAAATGAATGTAAGTGTAGCATAATATGCTCGATGTGTCCTAAATAATACTTTATCGGCATAGAAAACTATTACTTCAACTATTTTCTTTTTAAAACTTTTCTCAGTATCTAACGGTGTCAACAAATGAAAAGCTCAAAAAGGTATTCAGAGATATTTTAAATCTGAACAAATCTCCGATCCTTCATAATACACTATTGTATAGAGTAGTAATAAATGCTAGATAGTTTTTCCGAAGTCATTTTAGTGTCTGCGTAGTAAATACAAGAGCGTACAGTTCTTTGGTGCTTAGAGCAGAAAAATGTAAACTGGAATATTTAAATTTAAATTCTAGGCCCAGGCGGTCTTAAATGGACTAAAACAGGTACGACAATTATTGGCAGTGGTTCGGGTACAGGCCCAGATCAATTAAATCTTCCAGACGGTATATTTATAGAACCAAAAACACAAATTTTGTACGTTACGGATGCGTCCAATAGTCGCATTCAAAAACGTTACCCTAATGGCAATATAGAAACAGCTGCGGGCCAGTCAGATGGCACCAGTGGAAAAGCAGCAAATATGCTATCAGGTCCGTCAGATGTTTTTGCAGATGAAAATGAAAATGTATTCATTGCTGATTGGGGTAATCAACGAATTCAATTTTGGGAGAAGGATGCCAAAAGTGGGAAAACAGTCGCAGGGAATGGTAGTAGAGGTTCAGCATTAAATCAATTTAGTTATCCAAGTACAGTTTTCTTTGATTCCAAGAAAAATATAATAGTGAGCGATTATGAAAATCAACGTGTAACCCAATGGCCATTCTCTTTTGATCCAAAAACATCGATTGGCTCAATCATAGCTGTAAGCTACTAATACTATTTCTAGTGTTTACTGCAAGGGTTTTTCTATGGTCATTATTTACTGTGTTGCAAGGTCAAATTTTTTTATAAAAAAATATTCTAGCAACATACAAATTCTTCAAGTTTATTGAAAAATCTCAGTATTTATTCGAACGAATAATAATAAAGGAGAAAAACAGTATCAGGAGAGGTTGAGTGATCGTGAACAATTAATAAAAAATATAGAAAACACCCCATTTCAATTTACTTTAGGGTGGTAATGGTGCTGGTCTCAATCCATATCAATTGAATAGTCCAACTGGTTTATATTACGATGAACAAAATCAAATTTTATACATATCGAATGAAGCATCGCATTCAATTACACAATGGGTTCTTGGAAGCTACGAACCTCGTAATATTTATGCTGGTATACCCGGAAGACCTGGAAACAGTGCAGCACAATTGTTCTATCCGGAAGGTATTACTATTGATAAATATGGTAATTTATATGTTGCTGATACTTCTAATCATCGAATACAGATGTTTTGTCCAAATGCTATACAAGGCATAACAATTGCAGGTACTGGCCAACTTGGCAATAGTAGTAGTGAATTGAGTTATCCGGGTGATATTGCATTTGATTCAGAACTTAATTTGTATGTTTCGGATCGATATAATAATCGTATACAAAAGTTTGGAAGAATTCATTGAGAAAGTTATTTTATAGACTATTACCTATTGTTCATAATTGTCTTTTATTTGCCAGAATTTCGTAATTTTAAGAATAAAATCATTATCAGGATAAAAAACGAATAGGTTTTACTTTTTATATTCCAATTATAGTGTTCAATAGTATACCAGAGGAGATTATTAATATTGCAAAATTTGTTGATAGTAGTTTGAATGCTTTTTGTCATGAGAACCAAAAGATACACAAACTAACTTTTAAAATTGAGGATGAGAATGTAGGTGGTGTTTTAAACACTCAATTAAATAGCTTCAAAGTGACATAAGAATGCATGCCAACTATATATTACGTATTTACCATCAAATATCTTCAATATTTACATACTACCCAATGATAACATAATATCGACTATATTTAATGTATATTTTATCTCGACAAAGAGAATAATTATTCAAATGGTTACTGTCCGAGCTCTCATGTGTATAGAACAAAAAGAAGAGCCGCGTCCCACTGATATCGTGTGACAAAATCAAGAACAAAATGTCTTTCATGGAACTCGAACGATACACCTTCTGCTATCTGAACAGGTGTTCTAAGTCAGTTAGACTTTAGCGTCAGAGTGTACCATCACTGACGCAATAATAGTTACAGTTTCAAATTCAGCTATTATGAAGAAAGAACTTAAAAACAAATAATGAATCTATACTATTACAGTAATGACGGCAACCGTCTGAAAATTCTCTTTGCTGATATCATGGTAGCTCTTGCACACTCTGAATTATTCACTCCTATTTATATAACCTTTCTTTTCTTCTTGATGATTGTACTGATTTGATGCTCTATAGTATGTTCATTATTCATGAATTCTGGTCTGAATAGCTTCACACACCTACTATAAGCGTTGATTTATATTATGCTTGTTTGGATTATTTTAAAAAAGGCGGAATGGAATTGATTGCCATCTGATGACTCTCACTGCTGAGATGAAGTATTAAAATTTTGTTTTGCTCTTACACACTGGTACACTTGTAACGATAAATATGGGACTCCGTTGGCTCTATATCGTAAGGACAAACTGGATAGAGTTGGAGTAGCTTACCGCCACTACTTGGGGATGATGTTTATTCGCTTCGTCACATATCCAGAGTGTAACAACTTCATACATAACACACGTATATATAGGAGAGAGATAGAAGAGAGACAGGAGAGAGATATATTAGAACAATGGAAAGAGAGCAAAAGAAAGAGGAAAGAGAATTATCGAAGCGTGCCACCAATATCGGCACAACACTTGTACACTTGTTTCCTGTTGAAATGAACAAATTCACTTTTTAGTATATAAAAGATCAAGATATTGTTGTAGGTGGAGAAATGTCAGATTTTTCATTTGGAATCAACGCGGTGAGTGTAATGGGAGTGCAGATTTTAACGATTATCTAAACTCAAAAACATTGATCGACTCACTTGATGGGAAAAATGGTACTGGGAATTTCGTTCCTCGTCTGCTTTTCATAGAATCCAGCTGTTCTTTAAAACGAAGTGAAACAATCGGCCGTTGTAGTTAACGAACTAAAACAATTGACCGAATAGCAACATGATTAAAAACATTTTGGCCTACTTAGATGAACATGACAAATGAACATTATTTCACAAGTAGTTTCGTCCAATTCCAAATATCCTAAGCCTGAGCTCGAACGAAACACTAAATTGAAATTTTGTTTTATATTGAATAGATCAATCAATCAATCAATATTCAACTATGGAAAATTTAACTATCAGCTCTATAGTTTTGACAAAAATATAAGATATTTTATTCAATTATATATTTTACTCCCTATCACGTTGAATCTAGTAAATAAATAGTTGTTCTTTTTTTCAAAAAAGAATTGAAGAGGTATTTTTCTTTTTATTATTGATGGTTTTTAATTAAATTTGGTTATAACATGATACAAGTATTTAGTATCAGATTAACATCGTTGGATTTTATTGAAGATAAATTATTAATCAGTATGACAAATGTTTTGAACGGCTATGTTTTCTATTTACCAGGAAATTGACTAAATACTCTAAATATAAGAAGTATCATAATCTGTTTAGGAGATTTGCGATATACATCCAATATTTTCTCACCAATACGATATATATTTCGTAAAATTAGATTGGTGTAATGTTGCATGTAGTAAACATATCAGGATTGGAAGGTATAGGTTGATCTTCACAAAGTCTTTTTTCGATTATTGAACAGTTTTTAATGATTTACTTCTACTCCGAGGCTCCCAGCTGCCGCTATCCAAAACGCAACTGTTAAGAATCAATTAGAGTTAGCCACAGCGGTGCATGTAGCATCCATCATTATATCAAGAAACAGCTTTATCGAGATGCTTGAATTTTATGACGAAAATCTACAGGTTAGTAGTCAATATACTACATAAAATAATGCTTCCTCAAAAACAACGCAATTAATGAATGATATTAACAACTTTTACCATCTGTATTAAATCAATATCGGATATTTCTCTATATTCACCTACTTAAAAAATATGCTTTGAATATTGCTGAATATACATTATTGTATTAAAACTAGTTGTTATTTTTTTTCTCAGTATGCTTGTTTTTATCGATGTCTTTTATATATTGTGTCTATACTATTTGAAAAATAAAAGAAGAGAATTCTATACTTTTTGTGAGCTAAATAAAAAAAGGCTTATAGAGTAGTGAATTATATCAAACAATTTCAGTTAAAGCATTCACACTCAATTGATGTAAAAAAATTATGATATATTTAATCGTTTGAACGGTTTGAGTTGCGAAATATGAAAGAACAAACAATCAGTGTTGGTGTGGTGTTTAACGACTTATTGTAAATAATGATATATATGTAGATATTAAATCAACTTTCTATTTCTTTTATTGAACATGGTTATTGTGAAACGTATGCTAACTACTGTTTTTACAAGTTGTCTCAAAGATCAATATACAAAAAATATCACTGCAGCTAATAATACATAGAAACTACAAGACTTGACTTTCCACAATTTTTTTGATTCTAACTGTACTATGATAAAGTTTCAGATTAGAATTGATAATCATCATCATCAAGGTTACGATAGCGAAAGTCCTGCAGATCTCTGAACTCGGCTGGGTTATTTAATGAATAAATTGCTATTCCAAAAATGGTGAGAAAATGATTCAATCAGAGAAACGTATAGATATGTTCCAATTATATTCCTTCTTTAGCAGATGAAAGTAAAATGGTGCATACTAGGCATGACACTTTAACTGTAACATTTAGAGTAAAATTATAGTGTCACCCCTAGTGCACACTCTGCTTCTAAAGAATGTAATTTGCAAAGGGAGAACTTTTATACTATAACGTTTTTTTCCAGCTATCTACCTTTACTTCAAATATTTTTATCTTAAAAAACACTTGCTTTCATAACACGCAGAATAAGAGTGTACGTGGTGGTGAGCTAAGATTTCTTGTGATGTTTGCCGGAAATGATACAAAATTTTCAAATTTAGTCGGCTGTTACTCTAATATTATTTAATGTGATTATGTCTGTAGTTAGTTGTTCATTCGATTGGGATCAGTTCAAACGTGACTACACTGTAAAAAAAAACTCGTAGAATAAAAAATGAAAAAAAGGGTTTTATGAAAGTGCAACGTGTTGCAAACCATTTGCAATCGTTTATCAACGAGTCATAAACCCTTTTATAAACCCTCTAAAAAGGGTTTAAGACGAAGTTTATTATCGTTAAATATGATTTCCGGAAGGTTCATTGAAGGGTTGATCAGATTCATAAATCCTTAAAGGGATTGCGACACGTTGCACTTTCATAAACCCCTGAAATGGGTTGATAATTTACATAAACGTTCTCATATAACCTTCGAAACTCAGTCTAACAAGGGTTGATTAAAATACAATACCCATGAGCCCCTCTCAGAAACGCTATCGAAAAAGGTTTATGAGCATCATGAATGATCGCCAGCGTTTGTGAGAGGGTATATGAAACCGATTGTTAGCCCCATAAACTACCTCAAGGGTTTATGATAAGGTTTATGAAGACGATTCTTGACCTCAAGTATCGTTCTCAGGGAGATCATTAGGATATATAGAGTGATTCAATAGCACAATATTCTACTTCTAGGGGTCAGAGAATAGCTGAACAAGTAACGCTAATCGAGTGTCGATTAGCTTAACCCTAGACTGATATACGATCGTAGAAATGGAAGATTGCTAGCCTCTGTCTGACTCTAGAACCTAGAAAACTATAGGTTATCGGAACTTATTTTTTCAGGATTCATTCTTCTACAGGACTTGCGTATTTCAACAGTGTTCTTTCATTCTGATGCTATTTTCCAACACCCCTACCCACATGAACAATATCATCATCATCATTAATCTATGCTAAGTTTCACTCTTTTCGACAC